ACTTTAAGGCACGGGGCATCCACAACTTCTCTAGACAACCTGTTTCAGTGCCTCACCACCATTACAGTAAAGAACTTCTTCCTAAACTCTAACCTAAATCTATCCTCTTACAGTTTAAAGCCATTCCCCCTTGTCCTATCACTGCTTTCCCTGGTAAAAAGTACCTCTGCAGCTTTCTTGTAAGTCCTCTTTAGGTATTGAAAGGCTGCTATATTTTTTTCTCTGTGCTGTTTTTAATAGAGGTACTAATAAAAATGCTATAAAATACAGAGTTGGTTTACCACACAAAAATTATTTAGTTTTTTTTTTTGTTTGTCCACTCCAGGAGCTATTCCAGATGAGAGGTTGTATCGTATGTTTGTCAATAAACAAGTAACCATGCTGAGACCAAAGGAAGATGAAGATAGTTGGTTTAACTTGTTTGTGATTCATCAAAATAGGTAACGGTATTGAATGAATTACAGTGACTTTTAAACTTACTGTGTTACTTCATTAAACTGTCTCACAAAGGATAGGTGAGAAAGCCAGATGCGTTTTAGTTGGTGCTTCTTGTGAGTAGCTGGTTTCTTAATATTTTCCCGAAAGAAAACTTTCTTTTACAACTCTTTCTGCAGAAGAATCATAAAGGAAAAGGGTTGAAATAAATGAATTAGTAATGTTGGAAAATCTCTTCCCAAACTTTTATAGTTAGGGACAGTGGGGGTTTGTAGTGTAATATGCATATAATTAAGTCTTGTCTGCTTGTTAAAGCTGGAAGAACATTAAACTTCATATTGTATTTTCTATACTTGTTTAAACTATAATTCAACAATCTATCTTACCTTGCACTGCAATGCTTTACAGATATTCTGTCTGTCTACACACTTCTCCCAGCAGTGGTCGTAGGAGCAGGCAGAGTTCTTTTCTAAATCTTTTCTTCTAATTTTTTCTGAGAAAGAGGGCAATCCTTATGTTCAAGCAGTGGTGAGGCAGATGTAAACAAATACAGCTCAGATAACCCTGTCCTGATCTCTGTCCAGTAGGCTGAAGGAACTCACTTCACTCCTCCTTCACGTCCTGTGCCTTCTGGAAAGGGATTGGGGGTGGCAATCTGTTTATTTTGTGTCTGTTTATTTCAGTGGGTTTTACCCCAGCATTTAAAAATAAAACAGAGAACCAAACAAAAACAATGGCCATGAGGTGCTATAAAAGCATTCATATAGAAAAAAAATAAAGTCTTGCAAGCCAGGTAAGAAGAAAAGAGAAATAAAAGGAGTGGAGCAGAAGACAGTGAGCTGTGTAAAACAGTGAGCTGTGTAAGTTGCCTTTTTGTTTAATCAAACATTACACAATTGTGTAAGGAATAAATGTGAAGAGGACCTCACATGTATGTCAGATATTATTGCTGGAGTTTCTGTATTGCTTTAAATCACACTGATACTTTTCTCCTCCTTCACTCCCCCTTGCCCACCCATTATTTTTCTCTTCTCTTGAACAGGAGCAAACATGGAGCTACCAACTACATTCCAGAGCAGTTTTTAGATGACTTTATTAATCTTGTTGTGTGGGGTCACGAACATGAGTGTAAAATAGCTCCATTCCAAAATGAACAACAACGTTTTTATGTTTGTCAGCCAGGAAGTTCAGTGGTGACATCTCTGTCCCCTGGAGAAGCTGTGAAGAAGTGCGTGAGCTTTTCTTTTTGTTCTTGTTTATCACTTGTCTTATGTCTCTCAGGTATTGTGATGAGAACAGAAAACCACTTGTATTAAGTATGAAAGGACTTATGGAGTGGATTAGCTTCGGAGTGTGATATAATAAAGTAGATGGAATCAGTGCCTAGTAGAATTTTTGCTTTGCTTACTATTTAACATTTGAAGCAAATGGAAATTACCTAAGAGGAGTTACACCCTGATAAATTGCAATACAAGCAAATGAGTACATGTGCTTGTGTATGGAACAAGCACAATCTAAATATAATAAAACTGATGTTTGACAGGTCCAACTCTGAAATACAGATCCATGAACTTCCTATAGCTTTTAAAATTTTGCCCCTGAAAAGTAGACATGAATTTAAAACAAATCTTTATACCATAGTTCTCTTAAGTTTATCTTTTAGTAAGTTACCTTTCTCCTTCTAGACACATTGGTTTGCTGCATGTTAAAGGGAAAAATATGAAAATGCAGAAGATTGCTCTAGAGACAGTGCGAACTTTCCACATAGAGGATATTGTTCTAGCTGATCATCCAGATCTTTTTAATCCTGACAATCCTAATGTTACTCAGGCAATACAAGCATTCTGCACGGAAAAGGTAACTTGTAATGCTAATAGTTTATAGATAACAGTGTACGGACAGGGGATGGGATCTGTGGCTGATTTTGAGACTGGAAGATGAGAAGTATTTTGTCTTGCCCTATATTATTTGAGATGAACTTAGGCAGTGTTTCCATAGAAAGCTAATTAGATGCCATTCACTCTGCAGCCTTGGCTTCCAGATTCCTTGACTGGGATGACCTATTAAAGTAGGCTGGAACTGCTTTATGGGTGTCCATATCATCTTTGTACAAAAACTTGCCCCCTAAGAGTGGGGCAGTGTTGGATGTGTGCTTTGGAACCTGCATAAATACGTCAACCTAAACCCTGAAAGCTCGGCTGCACAGTGTGAAGTGGCAGAAGTAACTAAAGGTTAATTAATTGCTCTTGCTTCTTAGGTTTGTATAAGTCTCTTCCTGCTTTTTCCTTGGAACTAGAAATTTAGCAAAGCATAATGGCTATAAAGTACTATGAGCGATCAGGGTGTAGATACTGCTGGACTACACTATATCTGAAGAATGAGTCTTCCGTTGTGATGTTTTTCTCAGTCATTTTATGGCTTTTGGCTGGATACTTATACATATGTGTTCAGGAATGAGAGCAGATCCTATAATTATTTATTTTTATAGCTCCTCTTGCAACTGGATGTATTTTAAATTAAACTTGAAACATTTGGGCATCTGTAAGAGAAAGTGGAACTGAATTTCTGATTCTCCTTCACAGGTTGAATTGATGCTGGACAACGCAGAAAGAGAACGCTTGGGAAATCCACGCCAACCAGAGAAGCCTCTCATAAGATTACGAGTAAGACATTGTTCCATTTATGTTGCTTTGTTTTGAAAGGTCACTTTAAAAAGATTCAAAGCAAAGTCATGCTTTTTGTGTAAACACGTAATATATAAGTCTTTCTTAAGTCATATTATCCTGCATGTGTTCCTAACTTAATTTATGGAAACTTCCCTGAAGGCTAGTAAGTGAAACAAATTAGAATCAAGTTATGAATCTGAGCTGTTATTAGCTATTCTGTTGATATTATTATTAGCTATTATTAGCCATTAACTATTCGGCAGAGTAAGGCATTCAATTTAGGTTGACTTATTTTTTACTTTAATTTTTCTTTTTAAGGATAACAAACCCAGCTGGATTTGCATGGCTTCTCCATTTCTGTTTGTTTCATATTAAAATTTTTCCTTTTCTCTCTTAGGTTGATTATGCAGGTGGCTTTGAACCATTCAGTGTCCATCGTTTTAGCCAGAAGTACATGCATAGGGTGGCTAACCCAAAAGACATCATACACTTTTTCAGGCATCGTGAACAAAAAGAGAAAAATGGTAATTATGAAGAAAGGAATAATTGGCTTGCCTTGGTTTTCCTTCTTCTTTAATTTGTTGTCCAGCACTTGCAAAAGCTTGGTGTCTACCTTCCAATGTGTTATAGGAGGAGTAAAAATGCATTGTCTCATTTAAGCTTATATATCGCGCAAGTACTTCTGTTCTATTTCTGGGTTTGTCTAAAATTCTGATATTTATCACAGCATCTGCTGACAGTTATTCATAAACAGTTCCTTCTTATTTTGGCCTCAAACCTTATTGAGTTGCCTACAGTAATACATATAGCCCCATACCAGACTGAATTACTCTGATTCTGTGATAATTACCATGAAAGGGATTAATCAGCTCACTCCTGAGACTTCTTAGAATGAGATGGTTGGTTTAGATCACTCTGCAGGAAAACAGATGAGTGTAGTGCTTTTTCCCTTTGTCTTTTAATTTTATTGCTTTAGGAGTTAATTTGTTTATCCCTAAAACAGTAATGGAGGGAGTGGGCTTGAGAGATGTTTTTTAAAAAAAGGTCCAAATGTATGACAGCATTTTGTTTGCCCTGATTAATCGTGTGTATGAGGTGCTCTTGGCTTGTCTGTTCCAGGTATGTCTATTCGAGCATTTGTGCAAAAAAAATAATAGCTGTTACTATTGCAGCATTTCTCACTGTGCCTAGAATTTTTTATAAATGGTTAACAGATGTTGCCCAAATACTGGATTTGTAATGGTCACTAATGAAGATGCACCTTGTGCAAGAACATAATGTGCTAAAGCACTGTTAATAGTTCACATTAGTGCATTGTAAGTACTCCAATTTCATTGACAGTTTTTATGAACACTGTTAGTTCTGTAAAGTTCAAAACATCGTTTAGTGAAAAAACTACTTTTTGTTAGGATTTTTAAAATTATACCATATTGATCTTGGTTTACTGTGCTTTGGGGTTTTTTTCATAGTTGTGCAATCTCAAGCTTTTTGGAATACACAGCTTCAGTAATTCAGAAGTTGTTAATGTTTCTCTTGTCATAGCTGCTTCTATAACCAGGCTAACAAAACCACACTGTTTTGTGCTTTCTTGTGGCAGTTGTCTTAAAGCAGTCTGTAGTCACTTTATATTACTTTGTGTGGTATGTGCTAATCTCAGGTGATTATCCCTTTCATTCTTGTGCCATTTCTACCTTGCTACCAGAGAATGGGGGCAACTCTAATGAGCTATGGGCATTTTCTACTGAAAATCAGTCAGCGTGCTTTGCAGGAAAATTTCTTCTCTAATAAATGAGTTACTTATAAAAAACCTTCATGCTTTGATGGCTTCTTTGATTTTCTTCCATTTGTGATCTTCTAGAGTTTAGTTTTATTTACCTTCAGGATATAATGTCAATATGCAGTTCCAGACGTGGTAGTTAGAAGAACCCTATGTCTGCTAGAGGTGAAGTTGTCTGTACAGTTCTTGCATACATTATGTTTAACTGTGTTTCCAGACAACAGACTCTACAGTTAGAAGAAAAAGCTTTACATATAAAAAGGACCCACAGTTCTTAAGAGACCTGTGTTAACCTTTTTTCCTATTACTGTCAGTGGGATGATAATAATTAAGAGCTGCAAATGTGTATGATGGTGCCACTGGGCTTTTGTATTCTAGACATTGATCTTAACTTTGGAAAATTGGTTAGCAGACCTGCTGAGGGGATAACACTGAGGGTGGAAGACCTTGTAAAGCAGTATTTCCAGACAGCGGAGAAGGTATTTTTCTATCTTTTATGATTTTTTAATATAGTATAATATTTTTTTCTTTTTTTTTCCTTGGCTTTCTTAGTGGAAGTAGTAGTGCACCCTGAAAACACTCTGACATTGACTGAGAAGTGAATTTATTTCCCATATAACTGTGTGTGAATTACCACATGAAATATGTGTCTTAGATTAACAAGTAGTTGTTGTGTATAGGTTGTACAGGTATGTGAACACATGCTGGTTTGAGAACATTATGATAATTCTTCACAGGAACCTGCAGTGTCTGCCCTGTACTAAATGATGCGTCATATTTAGGTAAGGAGGAAAATGTGAGGCAGCATGCTCTGAGGGAGAAGCTACCTTAATTTACTATAGGGCCAATGGGAGACTGTAGCATTTACCATTACCAGCTGACTTGGAGTAACTTGTTACTCTGCAGTATATTTGTGCCCTCAGATGTAGTGCAATTTCACATTATATTTAGAGCAGAGCAGGGAGAAGAAAGAGAGACCCCAACAGTTTGCTTTCTTCCCACCCTGACGTAAAATCTGATATATTTCCCTTTCCCAACACGCTGGCAGAAACATCTCACAGGTAAAAAAATAGTGATTCAGGTGCCCAAATGCTTGATCAAGATGATCAAGCATAACTTGCAGAAGCTACTTCAGAACATGCTTTACAGAAGGTCTTTAGAGCAAGGATTCTTGAGGTAAAGATCCCCCGAATTACATCATCTGGCCTAACTTGGACACACGCTAGCTGTCAGGACAGCATAAATCCTATGCATTTGACATGCTTATCTTATTTTTTTATAAATGTCTTATTTTATAATAGCTGTAAAGTTTATTCTGTTGGGCAACATTGTTTAATAGAATTTTTTGTTTTAGATATGACTAGCAATGTAGTTTCTTTTCTGTTTGTGAAGCTTTTTTCTTTAAGGAGTCTGGAAAGTGCTATTTTAAGTAAAGGTGACATGCTAGTAGCAAGAGAGTTGTAACTATATTAGGACAAGTAACATGTTTGCTTATTGCTGTGGTTTTCTCTGATTGAAATATTCAATGCACATTACTGTTTTTGCAACCAACTTAGTGTAATACTTATCTGAAGCAGCAGGAATATTGCTTGCTTTCTTCAGTGGCATATGCTTCTTAACAAAATATTTTCCCCAATTCTAAAGAAAGTACAGCTTTCACTTCTGACTGAAAGAGGAATGGGAGAAGCAGTGCAGGAGTTTGTGGACAAAGAGGAAAAAGATGCCATAGAAGAATTGGTGAAATTTCAACTAGAAAAAACACAGAAGTTTCTTAGGGAGCGTCGCACTGATGCAGAGGAAGAAAAAATAGATGAGGAGGTAATATTCTGTTGTTGTTAATTCTTCAAGAGAGGTCAAGACAGTAGAAAAATCAGTGTTCAAACCTGGTTTAATAGATTTGCCTGTCTGTGGAACATGTGTAACACTTGCCTCTGTTCTTTTTCTGCAATTAGTAAATATGGTGATGAAGCTTCAAATACGTGGTTTTAAAGCTTGTACTGAAAATGGAGTTTAGGTTGCACATGCATGCATAGAAAAGATCTGTTGCTCTAATATACATAGAACTATATATTTACCACTACTGTGAGAAAGGTGGTAAATATAATCTCATATTAGCTTTTTCATTTTTGGCTTTGGGAAGAGTACAAGAATAGGGCAAACATAAAGGAAACTTACCCTTCCGGTGCTCTACTGGCTTGTATCTGCTTGCAGCTCAGGGTATCCCAGAGACAAGCCCTGTTTATGTGTGTCAAGTAACTCTTATTAGATGTTTCTGTCAACTTGCTGAGTTTCCACATGAGCCCATGTATTCAGCTGTAATATTCAAGAATTGTATGACAAGTTGTTTTGCAGCTTATCTTTTCACTGTGTAAAGAAAAATTTGGTGGGGGAAGGAAGGTTTCATCTACCCATTTTCATGCTGATTGCTTTAATTCATGAGGGGTTGAAAGAGACCATAAAAAAATCAGTGCTTGCAGGTTTTCTGTGCCTCTATTTGGTTTTTTGTTATTGTTGTTGTTTTTTGTCTTTAGAACTAATATTTTTTCCCTCCCACCTCATATCTTTTTCCATACTTGTCAAGTTGAGCTTCCATAGTTGTACATGTACTGTGACATTCATCTCTTCTCAATACAGTTGTTTTCTATCCTGCTTCTTCATCTCTACCCCTTTTTTCCTGTTATTCATTTTTCAATGTCCCTTATTGTCAAAATTATGTATATTCTCCTTCTCTTGAACATAGTATCTCCTACTTTTCATTATGTCTCAAGCCTTTTTCTCCCCAGTGATGTAGCTTCAGTTATTAATAGAATGTGAGACTCTTAAACTATAGGATGGCATGAAAGGGCTCTAATCAAACTGTTTAATTATTCTTGAACTCTTCATTTCTGACATGAGCTTGACTTAATAATTCAGTGATCAAAACTTCTCACTTATTGTGTTTTGATTATTGTATGACATGAACTGTTATTTTGATGGCAAGTCTTTTTTATTCAGGTGCGAAAATTTAGGGAGAATAGAAAAAAGAATGCTGAAGAAGAGGATAAGGAAGTCCGTGAGGTAATTCCTTTGAATTTTGAACATAAGCTGAAAAATGGCATGGTGACTTCTACATATAAAGGAAGTCACTTAGCAATCCTTCAGCAATACTTCAACATTGTCCTTGCCAAAAAGTGCCTGTCTGCCTTGGAAGCTTAGTAACTTCTTTTAAAATATAATATGTGCTTGAGCTATTGCTCAGTTTGGCTTTTGAGATCTCTTTTCTTGTACAAATTTGTGAACCTGAATGTTCATTTGTTCTTGCTTTTAACTGAAGTTAGACCAGGCAGGTGACCTTCAAAGATGTGTCAGCTTAAGCTACTTGTGATCCCACTACCAGTGGACATGTGGGTGGACTGTGCTGAGTGTTGTTACTGGAACAAATTGGTAGTAGGATTGGTAAGCCTTTAGGTACTGCATCTTTATCAGCAATCTTAAATCTTAGAGTCTTAGATCTCCCACAGACTCATATCTAGATTACTTATGTTTTTCCAAAGAGAATTGCCAACTACTGACAGCATTGGGGCTCCTTTGTCCTTACAAGCTATGTGGAGTGAGATTCACGTCTCCTGATCTGGGATATTTTCACAGGAACTAGTTATCTTAAGCACCCACTGACAAGTCGGTGGAGCCCAGAGGGTGCTTCCTCTGACCAGGTGTATGTAGCTGACGCAAGATGACCTGACCTGTCCACCGAACTCCACCAATAATGTATCATATTTACCAGCTTCATTCTGTTATCAGAGCTTAGCTAACTACTCTATATGTACACATCTAATTAAATAGACTAAGTACTGTCCCTGCTTTTTCACTGACGTCCTTTCCTTCCACAATGCTGAGGATTTGGGTCTTCTAAACTTCAGTGGTTTAGAACTGTATATCACAACTAGGGTGCATTTCATCATTTAAGATTCTTTTTCATGTAATACTTACTGTTCCATGTAAGGCAATGGCCAGGGCTAAAGCCAACAGATCTGAGGATGCAGTTCTTGTTGCGGCCTCCAGTGATGAAGATTCCATGGATATGGAGATGATAGGCATTGGTGATCCAAGTGAAGGCCTTTCTGCAACGCTGAGCCGAGGAAGGGGTCGGGCAAGAGGTAGGGCAAGAGGTGCAAAAGGACAAAATTCAACAGCAAGAGGTTCATCTCGCAGGGGAAGAGGTAAGAAAAACCTCACACTTTATACTGCAGTTACTGACTTTTTTTTCTTTAAAACATGACTATCTTCTGATGCTTCCATCAAGTGGAAATTTACTGCTTAAGGACTCCTACTGGAAAAAAAATTCTTCTCAAATACTTGGGGTATCCTATTACATACAGTTGACTGCCTTACAAAGCTTAAGTTGTAATTTTTTCACACTGTGCTTAGAAAAAAAATATCTTGCTTCCCAGCTGTGAAAACATAGTAACCTCTTAAAAAGGTGCATTATTGGGAATGTCTGTACAATGAAGTGCGTGGATAAACCTTTGTTACTGCTGATGGTAATGCATTTGATCAGTATAGGGAGGAGGTACAACTTGTCTCTATTATAATGTAATTTACAAGAGACTTCAATGTTTCTAGTGACTGAGAAAATGGGGAGTGTTTCCTAAGAAAAGTGAGTTGACCAGCTCCTCGGCTATGTGCCTGTGCACCTTACGGGGATAGTGGTACTTCCTTTATAGATATACTTCCGTTTTATATATATATCTATATATATATAAATAAAATAGAAAAGATGGGGTCTTGCAGCAATATACTGCTTTGAGTTATCTCACTAACACATCTCAGAGCAGGATGAGTTGAAACGAAGACTGTCATCTTGGGCCTGATTTGGTTGATGCTTTTAAACTAGTTCTGTGAGCCTGTGGTCCAACATTGTTCTGGTCCCATCAGAGCAGGGCCCTGTGTGTTAGAGGCTGTATCTGTGGACTTTGAACACTTGACCCAGAGCAGTTCTTCTGCATGTAAGGAGGGCCTTTGATTCCAGGAAGAAAGTGAGGAGTAAAGAGGAATGTAGATTTTTTTTATGTGACTTCCCACTCAGTAATGATAGACTAAAGGGGGAAAAAAAACCAACCGAACAGATTTCCATTTTGTTTGTTATCTCTACAGGA